CCTTCATGAAACAGCTTTCTCTCTGTAAAAAATACCACATAGGTGAAAGAGGACATTATTGCCAAAACTTTAATCCTTGGCAAGTTGCTCAATGAATAATTTTTCTCAACTGTATTTGCTGATTTCTCACATTGGAGCTTGAAGTGCTAAACTTCTGTCTGTAGTAAGATTTTTGGTTGGCTTTTAAATTTAAAAAAAAAGAAAAAGTTTGGTTGATTCCTAAAGAACGCTCTCAACTCTAGTCACATCGTGCATTACAGTCATTGTGTTTAATGACCTGCTGGTTTGGCTTCGACCTTTACACAATTGATCAGAAATTAAGTAAGCATCATTCTGATAGAGTATCGGTCCCCTGTGTGTTTAAATAATAGTTTTGACAGAGTTATTAGGAGAGTTTTCTTAGCAACCCTCCCAGTAAGTCGTGGGGAGAGAGAACCTGTTGTCCCCAAGGCAGCAAGAAAGTGACATTCAGGCGAGCCCTGGCATCCTCGGAGGCTGTCACCAGTAACTCCTCTTGAATTGCTCTTGGCTAACTTACAAATCGATGCAATTAAACTAAGTACTTTTATGTGAATTAGTGCTAATTTAATCCACATATATTCTTAGTTCTCTCAAGGGCTCTGATGTTTACCATTCAAAGCATACGCTTCAGAGCTTGTGCTGTAACTTTTGTGGTGGCAAGTTATTTTCAAAGGTCTTTTCTGGCTTTTGGACTCTGTGTGTTGAGAGATAAGGGGATGGTTTATGTTGGCAGAGTGCGGCTTCGAGCTTCGCTCGGTCCCAGAAGCATTCATTCCTGTATCTGTGTTCCACTGGAGGGAACTGTCCCAGAATCAATATTTGCATAGGAAAGTTTCCCCCAACATATTCTTATTCTGATCAGATAAACGAACTCAGTTCATGAATCCAAGTAACTGCTTCCTCCTTGTTCCACCACGAGCCGCACTATGAGAAGGTAGGAAGAGAAGCTGCCCCTTACATATTCCTAGACATTAATCTCACATTAAACGGTCAATAAGGCATTTCCTTTTAGGTGGCTAACTATGTGGTCCATGAGACTTCATGGGGGTGAATATAAAACCCTCTGAAGGCCACGATAAATAAGGTGTTTTCCCCAAGTGGTGTATGTGAAACCCTGGCTAAAATGTGTTCTTGGAATCATATTTGTTCAGTATTTCCAATGAAATTATGTTACGTGTTAATACGAGACCACACTCTTTTCTTCATTATCAAGGTGCTGAGGTTAAGAGTCTACTAGAACTTTGAGTGTCTCTTCGTTACCCACACTGCATCAGTTGCTGAGTGACCTTTGCCACGTGCCTTTAACTTGTGTTTCTAATTCTTGCTCTGTTAACCAACCTGTAACTCTGGGCAACACATGTTGAGGTCTTCAAATATGTGATAAGAAATGGAGCATCGTTGTTGAGGATAAGCTAGAAATACAGGACTGAATTTTTATTTTATCCCAAGTATGCTTTTCTGCTAATCTCTTCTTCCTTTGGTTCTATTTATATGTACTAAGAATTATGCCTAAATCTCAAAAAATAGTGTGAACTCTCAATCGTGAAATTGCTATTCACTGTCCTGCATATTGTATGATGCAGTATAATAAGGCGAGAAAAAGAAGTGCATAGACACCAGGACATTGTTGTTTTAGAAACAAAAACATGAATGTAATAGGCAAAATTACTTCAAAATTTAATTTCCTTTATTTTCATCAAAACTGAAAGTTTAAAGGGCAAAAATTCACGTAAAGCATAAATTAAGTGCCAAGGTACGGTGGATTCTTCATGTGGGCCAAGTCGTCCCCTGTAGGTATATTACTGAATTGCCCTCCAGAAACATAATTCCCCATTACAGGATGAGGACAGGCTTCTTATATTAGTTGTTAGTTTGCTTATTTCTACAGCCCATTGCATTTTTAAGTGGAGTTTCAGATGTTGTTTTGTATTTTATTTTCCCCTTTTCATTTGTGCCTCTAGCTGTTCAAAGAAAACAGGAGTGTTTTTCTTTATTCTTCACGTTCCTCCTAACTGGGCAACAGTAGCGTCAGTGGAACATTTTGTTGAAAATAGAAGAAAAGCTTCTCCCCGATTCCACTCTTCCGGCCTTGCCTTTAAATGCTCATCTAGTAGGAGTTATCCTAGTTATCCGTGGAGTTTAACAGAGGACTTTCCCTCCCCTCTTTTTTAATAAATGGTTATGAAAGACGTAGCTCATGTATGTAGGTGTAGTCAAGTTGTGCCGTTTTGGTCGCTTGGGGAGAAATTGTTCATCTCAGTTAATTTTCACAGAGCTCATGCTGCGTGCACAGCATTTTAGGTGGGTGTCATCATAAGCACCACGCAGTGGGCATAAAAGGCATATAAAAGCAAAAGGTGTGTGAAATAATATTTTTAAAAATACAGAGCAAAGAGCATAGTACTTAAGAGTACACAAAACAGTGCGAACTGAATCCAAAAGTACAGTGGGCGACCTCACTGTCAGTGAGGGTGCTATGTCTGGGGCCTGCTTTTGATGGAGAAGGCAAGAAGAATAAGTGGTACAGCGTGTATGAGCAGTGCCTTATTCTACTTACAAATCACCCTGGATTACTTTTTCTTACTCATCTCCCTCCCCCACCTGCACAGTCCCCTGCCTCTCATATTCAGTTCATTGCCAAATGAACTCAAAAACACAGTTCAAATCCTCCGTGTTTCTTCAGCTCATTGCTGCTTCCCTGGTCCATGCCCTGGTTATCTCTAGGCCAGATGTTAAGCCACGATCACCTAACTGGACTCCTTGCTTCCTTCTTGCTCCTCGTAAGTCTGGTCTCCACAAAGCAGGCAGAAAGTACCTTTGAAAATAGACGCATCATGCAGTTCCCGATTTTAAAATTCCTTGGTGCGCCCCCGCGTGTTCTTAGACTAACATCTGAATTGACCTTGGTCCACGCTCTCTCCAGGCTTGTCTTGCATCCCTCTTACCTGTCTCGGGCAGTTCCGTCTCAGCCTCGGGTCTCAGCCCACATATCACTTCTTCAGGGAAGCAACATGCATGGCCTGCTCTCCGCAGTGACCTCCCCCAGTTGGTTTTCTGTCATTTCACCATTTATCATGATCTTTAATCCCATCTTATTTTTTTTTTTTTTTCTTGCGTTATGCCTCTCACTGCTGTGGCCCCTCCCATTTGCGGAGCACAGGCTCCGGACGCGCAGGCTCAGCGGCCATGGCTCACGGGCCCAGCCGCTCCGCGGCACGTGGGATCCTCCCGAAACGGGGCACGAACCCGCGTCTCCTGCATCGGCAGGCGGACTCTCAAGCACTGCGCCACCAGGGAAGCCCCCATCTTATTTTTAAAGATTATTATTGTAATAATTATGATTGTTACTCGTTGGAACAGTAGTTGTTAGCTATCCCCCCAGCTAGTATGTGTACTTCATGAGGTCAGGAGCTTACCTATCTTGTTCACAGGAATAACCCCAGTGCCAGGCACCTAGTAGGTACTAAGTACATATTTGTTAAAATGGAAGAGCAGGCCATACAAGGAGAAAAATAATGAAATCGTAGAGTTTGGATCAGAGCTGGTACGATACGTTCTGATGTTAAATGTCAGGGTGAGGTTGGAGATGAGGAAGAAGCTGGAGAATTCAAGGAAGACCTTCTGTGATGAACAGTGTTCAGACTTGATGAGATAAGTGATACAGAGGCCAAAGCAGGGCACTTATTGTTATATTTTTTGAGACTGATTATTTAGCAGTTGTGCTCAAGCCCGCTTTTATTAGGGAGAGGTTGGAATCAGGGGCTTTGTGGTAGGAGGTTATTGCACTGGTGCAGAAAGGGTGACAAGGACTTGGATAGGGAGATGCTGGGGAAGTATGGGAGAGGAGGTGGATTCAAGACTCCGTAGTTTGGAATTTTGTGGTAACAATGCTCTGTACAATCCAAATATAAAATATTGCGCTTCCTCTAGCAATCCCACTCCTGGGTGTATACCCAGAGAAAACTCTAACTCGAAAAGGTACATGCACCCCTATGTTCATAGGAGCACTGTTTACAATAGCCAGGACATGGAAGCAACCTAAGTGTCCATCCACAGGTGAGTGGATAAAGAAGATGTGGCACATATATACAATGGAATACTACTCAGTAATAAAGAAGAATGAAATAATGTCATTTACAGCAACATGGGTTGACCTAGAGATTATCACACTAAGTGAAGTAAGTCAGATAGAGAAAGACAAATATCATATGATATCACTTATATGTGGAGCCTAAAACAATGATACAAATGAACTTACTTACAAAACAGAAAGAGACTCACAGACATAGAAAACAAATTTATGGTTATCAAAGGGAAAGGGGGGGGTGATGGATAAATTAGGAGTTTGGGATTAGCTGATACACACTACTATATATAAACTAGATAAATAACAAGGCCCTACTGTATAGTACAGGGAGCTATATTCAGTGTCTTGTAATAACCTATAATGGAAAATAATCTGAAAAAGAATATATGTACGTATAACTGAATCACTTTGCTGTACACTCGAAACTGACACAACATTGTAAATCAGCTATACTTCAGTTTGAAAAAATCATGCTTCCTTCATTACATAACAGTAAACTATTAGCCAAAAAAAATCACATTACAAAAAATATGATGTTCTCACATGAACTGGATAGAAGGCTTCACCTCTACCCCAGCTCCCCCTTGGGTGAAATATGAAACTGACATGATGATGTCTTGATGGGTTGAGGTGACGAGGAAAATTGAGATCGGATTGCTCCAATGCCACTGATTTAACAAATGAGATAATGTACATGAAAAGTGCCCAGTGCTATTCGTTAAACTTTTCATCCAAATAATTTAAAAAGCAGTACTGATATTTACATTTTGGGACTCTACCTAACATCATTTTTTCCTGCCAGATTGCCATCTGAAAAGAAAATGACCTGAAACAATTTTCTTACTATGCTACATTTGTTTAATATTGTTCTTTTTCTCTTTTTTTATTTAAGCAATTGAACACGATGAAGAAAACAGTGACAAACACGTAACTGTGACAGAGGCTGAAGGTGTTGCGGATCCTCAGGTGTGACAAGTTCTGTGACAGCCCCTCCTTACACCCTTCCTCTGTGGTGAGAGTGGTGAGATAGCACCGGTGTTTGCAGATGATACAGGTCTCACCTTTTGTGTTCTGTACAATAGTCATATGATGGGAATGAAGCACTTATTTTTGATGAGAGGTATTTCACAAGAAAAACCTAAATTGCTCTTCACGTTTATAGTTTGATTCATGGGGGAGGAGGGACAGATCCGGAGACATCCTCCGCTTCCCAGAGACAGCAAGCAAAGTAAGTGAAGAACCAGGGGAGACCGCCGTAGGGTAGACTGTCCCCTGGAGATGGCAGAGGAGAATCAGCTGGCTGACAGCATGACCCCCCGGGGCAGGGCCAGACAGATCAGTGCGATGCCGCACCTGGTGAAGTTTCTGTGCCCACCCCCAGCATTTATCTCGTGGTACGGATGTGCTTTTAGTAGCAGCTGACCTCCAAATACTATGGCAGCATAAAAACTTTGGGTACCCTACTGCTATCAACTGTTAACTTTATGTAAGTGCAGAGCATTTAGAGATTCTTTGTGGGGACAGCTGGGCGAGAAGCAGAACAGATGGCATAAGGGCATTGTTTTGCAAGCCCTCAACCATTCAACTCCACTCCTCAGAGTTCCACCCCCTTGACACCCAGCTATAGCCTTGTTTGACATGGCTAAATACCTAGCTACCATAAGCCAGTTTGTTAACCCTTTTGAGTTTTAGATGGCTCACCTCTGAACCTACCTGACAGGGGAGTTGTGAGGATTAAAAAGAGAAGAATGTTGAATAAATAAGCCATTGCATTTTATTATACATAAGAACGAGAAAGGAGTGGGTCCAGGGGAGTGTACTACTGAGAAATCGGTCATGGTGTGTCGAGAGCAATTATGGGTTGATTGATCTACCCCGGGGAGAAGAAGCGGAGCTACTCTACACTCAGGGGGAAACGAGTGGAAAAACTCTGGAAACAGACGAGCCCGTTTGAGCCCTTACTCCATGCAGGGCGTTGCTCGGTTCTACTAGCTAGACCTACAGAGGAAATGGCCTCACAGGATTGTGGTGATGGTATGCTGGTATCACGCGGGTCCAAACTGTATCAAATGGGTACATTAAATGTGTGTGACTTTTTGTATATTAAGTATACCTCAGTAGGCCTGGAGAAAAAAACGATTCTTAGTTTGGTTGACCCCGCACACTTCACCTTTAAAGTTGTAAGTCTGTGGATTCTGGTCAGAATAATCACGTTAGCTTTCTCAGCCAGGGTTGCAGAGGTTGTCATGTTCTAGTAAGTTCATATAAGGACTTGTCTGGAATTGTTTTGCTGTGGTAATGTTCAGAATGCTGCAATCCACAGGCTCATACTGAAATTATACTTCAGGCTTCCAAGCAAACCTGGGCAAGGATAGCTTTCTCAACGGTTTCTTAAGGCATTAAGTTATTAGTAGGACAGTTTATTATTTAGTTTCTAAATTTAAACTGCTATTTTTAATTTATTTTGGACTTATTCTGTGGACAAAAGTCTGTTTTAATGCAATTTTGTTCCTCTGTGTGTCTCAAATGGATGCATAGACTTTGCTCTAAGAGGTTTTGTGGTTTTTCTTCAGCAACGGTGACATCTCTGTGCATCTACAGAATGTACAGAGGAATGGAATCATGAAACCAATTGAAACCAGTGAATCGATGGTGAATTATGTCACTATGGGGAAAATGTCCCCTGGCTGTTGAAAACTTTGGGTGTATAAAGGGTTAAGCCAGTCACTAACTCCAGAGAGACTGGGCCTTGCTGTACCCAGGCATACCACCTACCGGAAAACTCTAGTTCTCTCCTCATATGTTGATTCCTTTCTTTCCTTTCTCTCTAAAAATATCTTTTCTGCCTAGGAAACTCCCTATTTCCATGCAGGGACGTGTAGGAAGAGTGAAGGGAGCATATAGCCTAGGGTTTACATCCCAGCCCTTCTTTCTCATAGCTGGTGCCTGGAGGCAAGTTCTTTATTGTCTCTAAACCAGTTCGTTCCTGTAGGGTGGCATCCGTGTCTTTGTCACCCAAGTGTCCCCACCGTGCTAGGCAGTGACTAGCATGCTTGGTTTTCATCTTTGTAGAGATGTTATAAAGTTGTCATGAGGTTGAAATGAAGCAACATAAGAATGCGTGCCACCCTGGCACATAAAAGAGTTTCCGTGAATGTCAGGCAGCGTCCGTGAGGTTAAGAGTGTTGTCTCCTGGGCCATGCTGCACTGTCACAGCAACCCTGGGCAAGTTACACTACTCCCTGGTGCCCCATGTTCCTTTTCTGTAAGAGTATTGAGAGTTGACACTTAGTACTTCAAACGCACTCTTCTAAGCTCTTTGTTTTTATTAACATACTTAAACCTCACAACAAACCCTATGAGGCAGATAGTATACTTACCACCACTTCACAGATGAGCTGCTAAGTGGTGGGGATGGGAATCCAGCCAAGGTAATCTGGCTCCTACATCCTTGCTTTTAACCCCTATGCTAAGCTGCCTTTCTAGCATCTGGAAAATGGAGACAATTGTTTTGAAGATCAAATGAATATATGTGAAGCAGTTAGAACAGTGCCTGGCACACAGTAAGTATAGCCTCCTGGAGTTATTATCATTGTCATGATCAGTATCACATTGCTTTCTGGTCTGAATATTTAAGGTATCTAACAGGACTGGGCTGCAATGTTGCTCTGTCTGCCATTATGGTATCTGCACTTACAGAAAACATTCTAGACCTTTCACTCGTTGTAACCCTTTGTTTAGGACTAAAGGGTTAAAAAATCTTTATCAAATGTATAGAATTTTTGCAGGTTCTAGTGAGATATTCAATGAGTAATTTATAACATGCTGAACTTTGGAAATTCTTGCTTTTATTCGGGTGGCCATAGACCACTGGATTCAGTAATTATTTTGTCTCCTATTCCTCCATTGGAATCAATCATTTTAATATTAAGTGGTAATAGCTGTTAATTATACAGATCGATTGCCACGTAGTTCATGATTGTTTTATCAGCAAAGTGTGATTTTTCAAAAAAAAATAGACTGAAGAAAGCTCTTATTTAAGGTTGTGATAGCTATCATAGAAAACAGATGACCCTTTTCAATCCTTTGTGTTAGAATTTATTAAATTTACTTATTCTCTTTTTTTTAAAACTACTTTATTATTTGTCAACTTTGCTGCTCTGGTTAGCAAAATGATCAGTAATGTATACAGATCTGAGCTGTAATTTCTCTCAGGTCAAAACAAGATAAAATATTGGTGACCTCGCTATTCTAGTCGGAAAATTCAAGGAATTAAATATATGTAATGAATGAACCCCTTACTTCATTGATTATGTAAATATGTAATGTATTTAGTCTCATCAGAAGAGATAATTATATAAGTGTAATAGATTAAGAACATATTTAAGGGAAATAACAGGAATAAATTCCACGCAGCTACGGTTTCTGCCTCCTTCCCCGCCCCCGGCCCACTTTGGCAGGACCCAGTATCACGCGGTGTTTGTAGAGGATAGGTCTGTGTGACCAGTGTGGTGTATCAACACAGGTAATTCCACAAGGGAGGGGAACCGGAGCAGTGAACCCCCGCTGAACTTGCACTGCCTCATCTGTACAGTGAGGGACCGGGAATCACTGAAAGCTTCCTAAGGTGCCGTGATGCCCCGGCATGGTGTCTGAGGCCCGTCCTAGTGATGCCCTGGACATTAGTAAACCTGCCTTTACCATCGCACTTTCTGTTGCCTGTACTTTTCACTGTATGTTCTTTTCTTGATCCTTTCCGCAGTTATCAAAGGGTGTATTTTTCTATTCCAACCAGTAGGAAATTTGTCATAGTTTTCTTTCTCTGGAGAAATTTGAGAAAATGGATAATACAATGAAATTTTTAAAATTATTCATTTATTATGAATTGTCTTCTGAATTTTCCTGGAAAGAATTCTACTTTCTTTAGGTAACTTTCTGTAGGAAATAGGTAACGTATTGCACCATCCCAGCCCATCAGTGTTTTATTCTGTCATTTGGACTTTGTGTTCAAAGCAACAAAAAAAAAATTCATGAATTTCTATTCAAGATTTAAGTTTGCAGAAATGAATCTGTTATGTAATAATCAATACAAGTTTACCCGAATACCCTGAATTTGTATTGAAAAGCATTCTGTTATTACAAAAGTGCTTTCATGAAAGGTGGATTCTTTCATCCTGGTTTTCCTTCCCTTGATAGCAATTTTTGCATGCTGTTTTAGAAAAGGTGATTTTTAAGGTTATGATCATGCAGAAAATGCTTCCATACATAGAACTTGTGCTCTTTCACCTTATGTCGTAAAGGCTGTTCATTTAGTTTGCAGTTTCTCCTAAGGGAATTCTGTCCAAGTTTCATTTCACCACTGAAAGAATGGACCAAACATTTCTATGACTCCATTTATAAAGGAAACAGACTTTTCATTTACACTGATAACATTTCTCTTCTCAAATACTGAAAATGATATAAATAGCTTTAATTATGCATTACAGAGATTTTTTTTTTTCAAAGCAGACCTTGAAATAAGGCTCTTAAATAACTCTTCTGATGGTTACACATTAATTTTTTATTTTTTGCTGGCCTTACAGTGTTAGGTAAACTGTTTATAATTATTTTCACATAGATAAATTAAGTAGTCCAGGAATGTGAAAGTCTAGATCAAGGGCTGTTATCTTGCTTCTCCTGCCATAACAGAGCTCTCAAAATATATTAATAAATTCATGGCTTTTTTTTTTTTTTCATGGCTTTTTTGAATTAAATCACTAAGTTACAGAGCTGTGAAAGGAACCCCCCAGAGAACATCTGGTTTAGTGTGGTGTTTCCAAAGAGGACTCTCTTATAAAACTCTCCAGGATGTACGGGCATCTCTCTGGGATTAAAGTTCTCTAGGGAATGAAGAAAGTTTCACAACCCTCCTTGCAAGTCTCTTTTGATAGTTATATGTAAGGAGAGCTGAAGAATTGATTATCTTGTGAAAATGCATCTAGAAATTATGCAGAAACCAGAAAATCAAGATAGCAATATTCCTTTTTAAATTATAAGATGATTTAATTATAAATAAGGAATAACTGAGTCAATCTGAAACCCACTTTTTAAAGTAATAGCACTTTGTGTTTAAAATACATAATTTGTAAACCCAAGTTATCTGGTTCCAATAAAAATGTATTTCCTCAAGAGAGAAAAGTCTCTATTTAGGATCCTAAGCAAAAAACTCATGTTCACACAGAAACCAAAAAAAATAGTCGAGGTCTCTTAAATTTCCTGTACTCAGTCCTACCGTGTTTTTGCTGATGCTCTTATCAGTTGTTTTTTTAAAAATACATACGGCACCCACAGACAGAAGGAAAGACTCTCTCTCCAAGTTGGAGTCTATGGAAGCTTAGCCCGGTTGCTTTGGAGCCTGTGCTGGTGAGAAAAGGTAACAGGCTCATTCTCACTCGCCAAATTAGTTAGCTCATGGTGCTTTCCTCCTATGTGCCACCCCTGCCTGGCCCCATCCCACAAGTGCCCTCTATTACACAGGGCTGCCACACTGGGGAGCAGAGAGAGATGGGGACCAATCCATCACACTACTGAATAAGAAGCCACGGAGCAGGTCCAGAGCTTGCAGTGTCATTAACACCCTGTCTCCTCTAGCAGGGCAATATATTAAACACCGTGAGGATGACAGGGATGGAGAGAGAAGAAATCCTAGTTGGTCAACATAAATGAATTTTCTAGATAACAGAAACATATTCCTTTAAGTGTCAGAACATTTAAAGAAAGTTCATAATTTTTGTGTAGAAATTTCCCTGAATAATTTTCTTGCCTTCATAATTTAAAGGAGCGTCCTTAACACTGCTGATCTAGTATTGATTAAAAGAACATCTTCAAGACTGGCCCATGTATTCAGCATTATCTCAGGTTATGGGCTCCATTAAAATCCTGACAAAGCAGTACACGCTAAGGAGGACGGCTAGGATGGTAAAAGGATCTAAAACCAAAGTCAAGTGGGCCCTTATTAATGCTTGGCAATCTGATTCTACTTTCCTTGTCCGGTTGCCTCTTCTTTCAGGTCAGGAGTTGAGAAACCGCAGCCTACTGCCTGTTTTTATAAATAAAGTGTTATTGGAACACAGCCACGCTCATTCATTTACATACCGTCTCTTGCTGCTTTTATGCTAAAACTGGACACTTGGGTAGTTGCACCAAAGACCACACCCCCACTGAGCCTAGAATATTTTCACTCTGGCCCTTTACAAAAAAAAGTTTGCCAACCCTTGGAACTGAAATGACCATTACATGCCTTCTTTTCTTATACTTCCAGGATCTTCTCACAGTCCTTACTCTCAGCTAATCACCTGACTTCTTATTTCTGAAATAGAGGCCTTCAGAAAAGAATTTCCTCATTCCCACCACCAGATATGCTAACCTACTGGCATGTTCCCCCCGTACTTCACCTCCCCTCCTATTACAGTGAGTGAAATACTCATATTCATGTTTCTGAGAGTAGGTCTTTATGCTCTTTCCTTCTCAAGGACATTTCTCCTAAAAATGCCCTCTGTCTTGCCCACATCATCAAATTTCCCTCTATACACTGTATGATTTCTAATAAAGATAAATGTGCTGGAATATCCCTCACCCTAAACAAGCAAGCAAAGCCCCCTGCAACATCACTCTTTAACTAGTGCCCCATTTCTTTTTTAAAAAATTATTTATTTATTTAGGCTCTGCTTGGTCTTAGTTGCGGCACGTGGGATCTTTTATTGTTTTAGTTGTGGCAGGTGGTCTTCTTAGTTGCAGCATGCGAACTCTTAGCTGCGGCATACATGTGGGAGTTCCCATACTAGGGGTGGAACCCGGGCCCCCTGCATTGGGAGCGAGGAGTCTTGCCCGCTGGACCACCGGGGAAGTCCTAGTGCCCCATTTCTTGAAGTAAAACTCCTCAAAAGAGTTGTCTTTCATTCTCTGTTAAAACCACGTGAATAAGGCTTTTTTCCCCACTACCACTTTTTTTCTCAAAAAAACAAAAGTTACTTTCAGGGCTTCCCTGGTGGTGCAGTGGTTGAGAGTCCACCTGCCGATGCAGGGGACACGGGTTCGTGCCCAGGTGCGGGAAGATCCCACATGCCGCGGAGCGGCTGGGCCCGTGAGCCATGGCTGCTGAGCCTGCGCGTCTGGAGCCTGTGCTCTGCAACGGGAGAGGCCACAGCAGTGAGAGGCCGGCGTACCCGCAAAAAAAAAAAAAAAAAAAAAAAAAAAGTTACTTTCAGAGTCACCAGTTACTTTTGTTAAATTCAATGTCAGTTGTTTTGAACTCCTTATTTGATGTTTCAGCTGTGCTGGATACAGTTTTTCACTCCCTCCTCCTTGAAACACTGCCCTCACTACTCACTGGGTTCTCCTACTAGAGCCCCTCCTCCTTATTCTCATCTTCCCAATATCTAACTATTAGACTCAGCTCATGGATTTCTTCTCTGTTTACGTCACTCCATTGGTAACTTCAGTCCTTCCTCTGGCTTAAATACCGTCTACATTATGATGACTCCCAAAGTCCTATCTCCAGCTTAGACTTCTCTGGACCTCCAGACGGCCAACCCGGCAGCTCCACTTGGATGTCTAATAAGCATATCCCTTACTAGATCTCCCCAAGTCTCCCAATCTCAGGAAATGACAACCCTACCCTTCCAGTGACTCAGGCCAAATATCTTAGAGACCAATTCTGCTAGCCCTTCCTTTGAAACAGATCCAGATTTTAATCACTTCTCCCCATCTCCACCACTACCACAAGTTCCAAGCCATTTCTTGTCTGAAGACCGATCTCCTAACTGGTCTTCTAGCTTTAACTGCTTTCCCCCACCTTAACAGTGTTTTCTCAACCCAGAAGACAGAACGATCCTGTTAAAATGTCAGATTATTCCAATCCCACGTTCAAAACATTCCTAAGTATTTCCATCTTGTTCAGAAAAAGAATGTAAACCTCTTACACATCCTGTAAAGAAGCTGCATGTTCTGGTCGGCTTCACCTCTCTGAGCAGTCCCACCGGGCTCTCCCTTACCAGCTCTGCTCCAGCCCTGCTGTGCCCTTTGCTCTCCATTGAACATGCCAAACACACCCAAGCCTCAGGGCCCTTGCACTTCTGTTCCTCTGCCTGTAACATTCTTCACTTCCTTTATATCTCCACTCAAATGTCAACCAAAGAATCCTTCCCTGACATTTCTATCTTAATAACATTTCTCTGTCCCTTACCCTGCTTTGTTTTCCTTCATATCATATATTACCATCTGCTGTTTCATATCTGTATGTCATATAATCCACATCCCCTGGTGAATATAAGCTCCCCATGACATGTGGGACTTTGTTTTTATTGTTATTATTGACCACTGTATCCCTAGAACGTATAATAGATCTTGGCACATGGTGGTGGTTCAAATAAAATCGAGTGAGTGAGTGAGTGAGTGAATGAAAGGAGGATATCATAAATAATGGTATTTAAATATTTGGAAGTTTGTCATATTGAATAAAAAATAGACATACTTTCAGTTGCTCTAAAGGTAATACTAGTACTCATTGTTTGAAGTTCAGTGGTTTCAGCGTTTTGTCTAGCATGATAAGGGACTTCCCAATAATTCTGGCTCTCCAGCACTGCACAGGCTGTCCTAAGATAAACTGAGATCCTTGTCCTTGGAAACCTTGGAGACAAACTGGAAGACCACTTGTGAAGGATGCTGTAAACATAAATGTCTGACTTTGGTGGAGGAATTCCACTTTGCTGTTCCATGGGAATCTGATTTGGGCCACGTCAATGATTTTGTTTGTTTGTTTGTTTCCGAAACTGCTAGTTAAGGTGATGTCCTTGCCCTTAGGAATAAATACTTAGTCATTGCTTTGAATGGAAAATTCCATTTTTCTGGTGCCCACTCAACAAAATGTGTGTCTTTAGTACAAACTGTTAAGACCCTGAAGCTGTGGTCACTTGCTGCCCCCTTCTCCATATTTGGTCATGTTGCTGTGTCCATTCGAATCCTGTAGATTGTATAGGGTAAAACAAAGACTTGATAGTTTTGGCTTCTCCTGCCAAGAGTAACTTCTGATTTCCTTTTAGATCGTGTCCTGATATGTCAGTGTGAACCATTTTTGAAAGAATTAGAGCAGAAACAGCTCATAATGTGTGTGATATAACCATTTTTTGTTTCTGATCAGAGTCCTAGATCCTCCTCCTTCATATTATTATTATTTGGTACGTGGGTATAATAAAAAGTACGATGCTTTGTGGACCATTTCTAAACCCTGATGAAATTTGAAGCTTTCTTTTTGCAGTTTATTTTTAATAAACTTTTCCACCAGATTTTATGCAACATTGGAGGTATTTTACTAATAATGCCCCATAGTAACTTTCCAGTTATGAAAAAAGAAGAATGATCTTGTGATCTTGTGAACTGTGAATTTGTACATGGAATGAGCTGGTGGAGCTAAGGAATTAGGAGGTTATGTACTGTTATTTTTAGTACTCTATCACTTCACCCTCATTGCCAGAGTAGTTCCTGGCTAACTTTCCCATGAGTTTTTAACCTCTTGCTGGGCTTATGTAACAGGAAACAGGCTGTCAGGAACAAATAGTGGCATATCGGGAGCACCCTTTAGTAGCAAATGACTTAGTTTGCTCTGCCTTTCACTCTCTTAAAGTAGACTGATAAATGATCTCACTTTAAGTCTTTTGGTGAGGCATTAGGTTAAGATAATACAATTTCAATTTTGGAAAGGCAAAATATTTTACCAAGACCATGATTTAATCCAGGCGACAGAGAAGATGAGTCTGTTATAAGGTGAACTTTGCAGTGGTGTCATGTCCTGGGACTGCGGATTTAAGTATATCTTTGCTTTTTCTCCAACTCTTAAGGCTGGTGTGATATGCAAACTTCAGGAGAGAGATGATATCGGGCGAATTGAACTGGTCCAGAAGCTGGCAAGAGAAAACTGTCAATTTTTGCAGACGGACAAAAAAGAACAGGAGAAGTCTGAACACGTAAGCCCTTTTCCTCTTGCGGATGCGGGTTTGAAGGGGTGGAAAATGTTTTCTGCCTGCTTGTATGTTTGAAGGAAAGGATATTTTAAGTTCTTTAGGTTTGGGGTTTTTGTCCCCCCAAAAGCATGCTTCTTAGTAAAAAATGACAACTACTATAATTTTCTAAGCCAGTGGTTTTGAAAGAGATCTCTTCACAGAAGTAAGTCATGTAGAAATATAAGGATGCAGGGGAGCAAATATGAATGCATGTCTATTTGATGACTTTCAGGTTTGACTTGGGGAGTTTCACCCCATCAGATAGTTTGTGGAATATGAGTTTTGAGAGAACATTACGATGTACTTTTATATTTAGCACAGGGGGTGAATCTAGTTACCAAACAAATGCATCCTAAGTCACAGGAGACAGATAAGAATGGACGAACAGTTTCTGGATGCTCACACTAAGTGAGAGAGTCAGAAGGGAGTTTTCCCAGTATCTTGTGAGCGTTCGTGTTCCAACAAGAGTTATATTGTTTGGATGTAGTCCAACTGGAGGAAAGGGACGCTCTGCTCAGTTCTCCTGAAAGCCGTTATTCAGATTGAGCCTTAGAACTGAGAACGCTGCCGTCATGCTAGGGAGACAGTGGGACCACTTTCTTCTGCTTTACGTTGTTGTCTGTTGACTTCTTGTTGTTGTTTGTAAGGCTTCACTCTCAGTGCTAAGCTCTCCAGGATTGCTCAGGAAGGGGAAAAATTCCTCAGTGTTTATGCACATCTCTTTTCTCTGACTTTAATTTTTTCTTGGAGTTTTATTTTCAACCCTTTCCAAGGGGGAAAAATATTGTTTCATGCTTTTTCTGCTCCAAGGCCATCAGTAGAAAGGCCAGGGATTTACTGAGCTGGAGAGGAGGTGAGAAGTCCAAGGATGGCACGCTGTTTAGTTTGATGACGGTAACGCGCCTCTAACCATTCGGCAAGTCGTTAGCACCGGTGTCTCAAAGGGGAGAATAATCAGCAGTTTCAAAGCCTTGTGGTTGCAGTTATCTTAGAGGTGACCATTAGCTTTAAGTGCGAGTGGAGGTCTCAGGAGCCTTCACCTCGGTAGGTACTACTGAAAAGTTAAGGGACTTGTTTGAATTGTTAAAAAGCACCCTGAAGGCTGACTGCATGTATATCTAAGACTGACTCCTCACTTCTTCTGCGTCCTTAGAATCGTTGAATGTCCTGGTTCATGTCCTAAATTTCTCAAAACAATATTCCTTTCGATTCATTTTAATTAGAAGAGCAGTAGTTTCCGTATGCTACATTTTATTGATTTCAAGGTGCACTTGCCCCGCACGTCCTTAGCATGTCTGAAATCAGGATGAGTCTTAAAGTTGATGATGGGAAAACATGTCCTAGTTTAACTGGGAACATTTTTCTTTCTCAGTGGTCCTTAAAATGGATGACATATTTTACAATGGATTGCACACTCAATTCAGTGGATCAGTGACAACGTGAGGGGAGGGCGAGATCTTTTAAAATCAAACCAATAGGAGATAGAGTACCACTTCATCAAGATGAGAAATCATCAGCCTTAGGCCACAGACAGCTTTATGGTTATTAAAAAGGTACCTGTGTTGCCTTTGCCTTATTAGTTGAATCCAGAATATTATAGTTACAGCTAATGAGCGTATAATACACTCCAAATATATAGTAACAGAAATCTGAACTGGCTGCTCTTTATTATAAGGACTTTTACCATGAGACGGAAATTTAGTGGTGGAAGGTTTGCTTACGGTTTGCTTACGTAACTCTGCTGGCGGTTGTGTACTCACTAGTCTCTTTAAACCTTCATTTTAAGATTGTAAAAGAGAACACTAAGGTTTTTTTACTTATTGCATGAATGTCATAATATTGATGCAATAACAGCTCTGAAGTGTGTACATTTCTGAGAGGAAATTAGATGTATAAATAAATATTGGAATGATGGCCTTTTCTGTGTAGACTTTTCCTACTGAAGCTGAAAGTCAGGAAAGGTGACTATTAAGGATCTTTCTTCCTTAGCGATAAATACAAACTTAGCCATTTTGTGGGCTCCCTCCTGCAGGGTGACACCGTCTGAACTGATCAACCCTCAAGGCTGAGACTTCCGTAGTACTCTTCCAAACAGAATGTTTGATACTAGGGGCTTCTACTTTTTACAATAATTTATAAGGAATAAAAATCATCTGGTAGCTTTTTTCACTCTTTTATGTCTTAAGCACTTGTTATAAAGATACCTTTGCTTGCCCACTGAATTCAGTGTCCATGAGATGATTGCAGCGTTTTCATTTTTCCTGCCCTCATTTTCTCTTTAATAGCAGTCATCTGTTCTTGTTCATGAAAACTCAGTTATAACACACAGAATATACAGAGGAAATTGCAGTTTACTTAATGTAAACCCGGTCTGCAGTTTCCTATTCTTATAACAATAACGACCAAACCCTAGAGTTACATACAGATTTCCTTTCTTTTGTGATTCTCAAATGCGTCAACTACCTCATCTACCATTCCTGGGCCAAAATTATTTAAGTGCACAGTGGTAAAATTTGAGTTAGAATCCCAGTTGCCTACTGAGCCATTCTTTTCACTAAATGACTTTGTTTCTCCAGCCCTAGAATGTCACATCCCCTTTTGTACATGTATGCCAAAATGAGACAACTACTTTGAGGTACTACTGCATAGAGATAGACATGAATTTGATGGAATAAAGCTTTTGTTGCTGGTACATCTTGTTACAAATTGAAGGGGTTTCGAGATTTCTGAGTGGGCATATCTAATATCTTTTTAAACTGGTAAACGCCATGATTAGGTTATAAATGGATGCAACTAGAGAAACACTTGACTGTGCTTTTGCCAAGGGGTTTCTGAAACTTAAAAAAAGATAAATGTATAATTATCACAAGTTTCTCAGCAAGCACTTAGTTTTCCTATTTTATATTAACAAGCTGTAGGCAAAATTAGCCAGCACTCATTCCTAAGTGTTGAAAATTATGTGAGAACTTTAAGAAGGGGACAGAAAATGGCTATTTCTTATAAACATTATGAGAGTGAGATTAACATTTGGTCATTAATTCTCTAAAGGAATTGCCTCTTATGTGGGCATCATATTTTCTAGGCTTAATTCTATGATTATATCCATAGAGGAAGGGGCACGTGTTACCAAATGGGGACTTTTGAGCTTGAGCTTGAAGAATGACTAATGGTCATAGAAGGGCAGGACAAGGGAGAGCACTTAAGGCAGAGGGACCAGCAGGAAGGCACATGAGTTGAGCCTTGGGCAATTCTTAGGAAATGAGGTGGGGTGAGGTGGGCTGTAAGTTGTGAAAGACCTGGCAGTCCACTCTAAGGAGTTTAGACTTGCCTTTCTGGTAAAGGAAAGCCATCAGAGAAGGGAAGTGGCATAATCAGATGTGGTCTTTTTAAGATCTCTCTGGCATTGGTTTAGAGGAAGAATTGAGTGGGGAACAGGGAAGTGTTGGAGAGAACCCTTAGAGAGCTATTGTTGTGAGTCAGGTGCGAGATGTAAGCCTGAAGCAGGGTGGCACCTCTGGGAAATGAGAAGGCCACAGATGTTGAGTCGTTTAGATGGTAAAATTGGCAGAATTTGATAATTCTGCCAATTATCAAGGGGGGAAAATGGGGGAATGTGTGTGCTAATTTATACTAAGCAGTTTTTGAATTTGTTATTACGGTTTCCTGGTACAGACATGAGAAAGTTCTGTTTATCACCAGAGTGGTTGGTCACCTTTGCCAAAAAGCTACATAGACATTTACCTTGTTTTGTTGTCCTGCAGTGTGTTTCAAGTGTCTGAGATTTATGCTACAGAACACTGTTTATTTCATTAACAAATTGTTTGATGGAGTTTCTGGCTAACAGTATGGAGACTACTTCTTATGAGACCCAGATACTTGGACAGTACCTTAAGCACAGAGAGAGAATCTCTGGTAACCGCAAAATGAACTAAATTATTTGGCCAAAACTTTGGCATTGGCTGCAATGATGTGTGTGCCTCCTTCAGAACTAACTGTGATTTTAGAGATGCTCTCCTAACCCATAGCCTCAGTTGGTGTTTCTATACTGTTATTCTAGAGTACTCTTGGTCATTTATTCATTCAGTACACCTTTATTGAAGCTGATGTTGTAGGGGATCCAGAATAATAACTATGGTGACTCCTACCTGAAGGAGTATAGTCAGGTTGTGGAGAAAAGATACTGACACAAATAACAGCAATACAAGGAGGCAGTGGTGATAATCCCCAGAGAGATACGTGGTTGTCAGAGGAAGAATTTACACCTGGGGAAACAGGATTCTTTCTCATGGCAGAGGTTGAGTTTGATGTGGACCTTAAAGTAGGTTTAGGTTGGATTTAAACAATCCAAACTAAAGAAGAGCATTCCTGGAGGAAAGAATAGCATTAGAAAATGCACAGAAATATCTAAAAATACAAGGTCTTTTTTGGAAAGCGAAACCATTCTGTCACCAGGGTACCCAGAATGGGGGTAAGGGAGATGGTGACAAGGGTTCAGGAGATGGAAAAGTTAGTGAGAAAAATGAGATTGGGATCAGGCTGTGGAGGATTTTGAGGGCTGAGACGTTTCACTTCATTCTAGAAATAATGAAGAGGCATTGACTTGTTAGTTTTCATAAGAAAGTAGGATGAGGGGGCCCTTCTGTGAGGTAAACGATATTATTTCAGTGTGATGAGTCAGAAAGCTGAGGCTGGTGAGTGATTAAGCAGAGATGGGCTAAGTGCGAACTCAAGTCTGACTGCCCCTGGGTGGCATCTTCTCTCAGCTGTCATCACCGGAGGGAGGCCTGGTAGGAGGACGGGAAGCTGAGATGACAAGAATCATGATAGTCCTGAGAAAGAGGCACCACTAGGAGGACAGCCCTGAAAGAAAGACAGACAGACGGCTACATATTGAAGGGATGGTGGTGGTGAAGTGTGGGAAGGAAAAATGAAGAGGGAATGCTAAGCTACTAGCTTATTCTGAG